CGATCCTTCCGCCTCAGCCTTCCAAGTAGCCGGAATTACAGGCGCGCGCTACCACACCTGGCTAATTTTTTGATTTATTGTAGAGATGAGGTCTCGGCTGCCCAGGCGGGTCTCGAACCCGTGGGCTCAGGCAATCCACTCCATAAAAGTTACAGTAGCCAATTATTTTTAGGATGCCTAATATGTGCTAAGTATATTGTATGCCCCTTGGATGTATCATCACCTCCAATAATCCTCCCTACCAGCACTAAGCCTTATTTATTTAGCTTTATACTGAATATCTGAAAACTAATGTGGAACTAAGGGTATTCAGTTTTTTTCTCCCACCCCTGGAATTTTCCTAGCAATTCTCACATTTGCTTTATTTGTCTTGATGGACTTTGGTATCATTTTGTGAAAATAATAGAAAAATCTTCTCAATATTTTGACTGGGACAGCATGGAACTTATACACTTAAAAGGGTATCTGACACCTTATAAGTTAGTTACTTTCCACCACATTTTTTTCTTCTTAATAACCAGTCCTTACTTGTCTCCACAGAATGGACTCTTTTTTTTGTTGTTGAGTTGGAGTCTTATTCTGTTGCCCAGGTTGGAGTGCAGTGGCATGCTCTCGGCCACCACAGCCTCCCTCGACCTGCTGGACTCAGGCGATCCTTCCACCTCAGCCTTCCAAGTAGCTGGAACCACAGGTGTGCACCACCATGCCTGGCTAATTTTTCTTGTTTTATTGTAGAGATGAGGTCTCGCCAACTTGCCCAGGCTGGTCTCGAACTCCTAGGCTCAAGCAGTTCTCTTCCCAAAGTGCTGGGGTTACAGGCCTGAGCCACTGCACCTGGCTAAAATGGACTCTTTTTGTTTTAAGTCCTTTGTTGGTAGTATAAGATGAAAAGCTATGTAGGGAAATGTCTACACTCTTGAAATTTAAACAAATCTGACCTTGTCTGAGGACTCTAGTCCATGATCCTTGTCCTCTAGGATTCTTTTGTTTCAGAGGCAAATTCTGTCATACTTCTTTCTGGAAGGGGTACTGATCCATTTTGCTAATTTGCATTTTTAAGACCGGAGGACAGATGGTTCTGGAGGCATTTTCCCTATTTGTAATAAGCACTTCCCTAAGACACAATGTGATCCATGTTGAGGTTAGTGCATTGAAGTGAGGAGGCCCTCACTGTCTGCTCTCAGAAGGAATGGGGAGTCTTTTACGAAAGTACTTGCAACGAGAAGTAGGGAGGCATTGAGTCGAGGTAAGGGCTCCAGCAGAGAGAGGTTGAAGGTTAATGTGGAGAATGGACCTGTCTGATGCCAAGGGATCAAAGAAAAGATTCAGAGGTAATCTGGTCAAACTATGTCAGGTCTAGCACTGACTGCTGGACGGACGAGAACCCTGGGGTGGCCTGGGTGATGATGCTCACTCTTCCCTCTCCCCTTCTCCCTACAGTGCACCATGGCACTCATCTACCTCTCTGTGGAGGATGTTTTCCTGCTCATCAACTACTTCAGCTTTAGTTACTGGTTCTTCGTGGGCCTGTCGGTGGCTGGACAGCTCTACCTCCGCTGGAAGGAGCCCGAGCGGACCCGGCCTCTCAAGGTCAGCAGCTCTGGGCAGATTAGGAGGGGGGTCTATCTCCCCAAGGTGCCTTCTTAGCCCTGCCCTGTTTCCTCATCCCACCTTACTTAATGTCTCATCCCCTCCATTTCAGCTGAGCCTGTTTTTTCCCATCGTGTTCTGCGTATGCTCAGTGTTTCTGGTGATTGTGCCCCTCTTCAGTGACACCATTAATTCCCTCATTGGCATCGGGATTGCTCTCTCCGGGGTCCCTGTCTACATCATGGGTGTTTACCTGCCAGAGTCCCGGAGGCCACTCTTTATTCGGAATGTTCTTGGTGAGCTCTCTTTGCCCTGTCACTCACTGGCTGTGTATATGCATGTGTACGTGTGTGTGTGTATGTGTGTGTGTGTGTGTGTGTGTGTGTGTGTGTGTGTGTGTGTGTACACTTGTGTGCGCCAGCATAGGTGAGGGGGTAGCTAATAGTATCCCCCCCCACATACTCATGATTTGCTGGAGGCCATGAGACCTGGCTACCCATGACTTCCCTTTTGATCTTTTTTTTTTTGAGTTAGAGTCTCACTCTGTCGCCCAGACTAGAGTGCAGTGGCCACTCCTGGCCACCACAGCCTTGACCTGCTGGGCTCCA